GTAAAATAAGGAAGTTGGTCTTTTAATACACAGCAGATTTCTTTCTATTCGGATGAACTGATAAAAATAAAGTTGTAGATAAGCTCGAATATAAAAATAAAATTTCATAAATCTGACAAAAGGTAAAATTTCAATATTTGCATTTAAAACCATCTGTTTCTGTTCAAATATAGCTTATAAAAAACAAAAAAAAAGAAGCAAAATTTTATGTTGCCGTCTGCTTTAAACATCGGTTCACACTTGTCAATTCTTCAACAACTTCGATTTGTTTTTTAAACTAGATCGGCAACCGAGATATGATTTTCTATGTTTAAAAGAAATAAATATACTGATTAACAAATAGAAAAAAGTTATTGAAATTTATTTTATTTATTTTTTTTTGCATTTACCTAGTTTATAGTTAATTTAAATATAAATTGAATTTTATTTGCAGAAAATTTATGATAACGATAAAATATTTGTGTCAGAATTTCAACAGTTTACTGATAATTATTTTTAGAATTTTAACAGTTTATTTTATCGATATAAGATTATCTAATTTCGAATTTTCAAAATTTGCTACAGTTGGCCCCCCTATAACACTGTTGATTTTTCCGTTTTATATGAATTCCATGTTGTACGAGTCACTTAGATTTTACAAATACGTGTGCCGGGCTGTGAACGACTCACGTATTTGTAAAATCTAAGTGACTCATACAACATGGAATTCATATAAAACGGAATAATCAACAGTGTTATAGGGGGGTCGACTTGTATTTTAGCAATCTTCTTTTTAAAAATACGAAGAATCAGCAACACCGAATAAATGTATATATAATTTGATTATTTTAAAATTTATAATAGGCTACTACAATATTATTAGTATACGATGAAGGAATACAAATATTTGTGGTAGTAGTAGTAGTAGTAGTACTGTAGTAGTTGTACTGTAGTAGTTTTCTATTGTATTTTCGGAAAAATATCTTATTTAGTTTTGTTATTTGACACTATTTCTTTTTTATTATATAGTTTAAAAGTAGGAATCTTAAAATGTTCTTATATTTTTAAGTTAGCGTTAAGATTCTCCATAATATTCTATTTATTGTCTTAGTTATTTCTAGTTTTTCAGCGAGGAAGTAAAGAAAATAGGCCTAACTCTCAACATATAACGTGATTTTTTTTCCCCTTAACATTTTCCTATTGAAATTTAGTTTCCTGATTTGTCCCCTTAGAAATTGATGTTGAAGACATATATTTTTTTTTTTTCACAATTGCTTACAGAAAAGTCTTTTATATTCTTGAATTTATTCAAGTTACTATATATTTTTTTAAATATAAAATATGCAATTTTTGAGGAAGTATTAATTAATAAATCTTGCTAATATCTTTTTAAGATTTATTATTTCCTGAGTGTAATTGTTTCAGGGTTTTTCTTTATCTTCAGTGACTAATTATTCTATAAGGAATTAGCATAATTTGTTTTTTTTTTCTTTCGTTTTTAAAAAAGGCGGGTGTGATTTGTTATAATTGCGAGATCAATTTTTATATTTAATTTAAAGAAAATTTATCATCACGAAGGATCAGGAATTGAAACGAGTCAGCGTAACCCAAGTAGGAATGGCGGTTGTTTATGAACGTTTTCTCACACGTAACCAGATTTAATGCGCATAGAGTAAAGGCGAAAAGAGATATCAGATCATTTCAAAAACATGCTCGGTTGCACCATTCACCGTTGGTAATTTACTTCATTGTTTAGTTCGAGTGAGCTGGCATCATTAACATGCCGTCGTGACGTCATCGGCCGAGTAGAACTTTTCACTGTTTTCGCCTGATTTTTATTCCTTTGAAAAATCTTAATTAAAAGTTCGGCATTTCCCACACCCATTCACCTTTCCTCTCTCACCTTTCGACAACAATGGTTGGGTCGAGTCTGTTAGTAAAAACGAGGAAAACATGCACATGTTGTGTGAATGACCTCGTAGGTTGTGTTGATCTACCGGTTCCTATTATGATCTCGTCTTGAGATCTCCGTCTACAACTTGATGTTTGGTGCATGGTTGTGGGGGTTTTATTACCTGCCTAATCCGGCCCTTAATGATATTGTAAATTAGTTCGTCTGTACCACTTTCGCATCTATCTAAATATGATTTGAGGCATTTGTTATTTTCTATCATAACGCGTTTTTTTTTTCCTTCTTCCGCTATGGAACTTGAAGCGGAATTATTCCTTAATTATGAACTAACAATAGATGATGTTAATTTATGATAATTAATTATATCTTAAAGCTAATTTATTTTAAAATACGAAGCAATTTTATTCGTAATATATTCTAATTATCATTGGATTCACTTGATTGCGTGGATAAAAGTGTTATCGTGGAATATTATTAAAAAAACATAGGAAAACTTTGGATTTTAGATTAGTTAAAAAGTCCTGGAAAAAAAATATAAAGGAAAATAACAACTATGAAGTATTTTATCAGGCTTGACACTTGAATGAATATTATAAGGAAATCGAGGTTTATTTTAAGAAATAATTTTTTGAATACAAGAAAGGAAATGTATATTTAGTAAACTGTTTTTTAAACATATAATATTCAATAAATGATTAAAATATGATAACCTAAAGAATTTTTGTATTGAAAAAAAAACGTTGGAATACAATGAAAATGACATATAGAGTAATTTTGAAGTTGAAAGAATTCCTATTCACATGAAAGAAAATTTGTCAAAGATAATCTGCGGATATTTCTGAGATGCTGATGACGATGATTGTAGAATTTCCTAGAGCCATGTGCTCGTCCCTAGACCGAGATGATTGTAACCATTTCGCTTTTTCATTTCGCTCCATTGCTAAACTTTCCTATGTAGTTCAGCTTGATGGCATTACCTATAAAGTTTACAACCATGGTTAAGCTTTAACATCAATCAACTTGTCATATACTGGCGTGTTTTGCTCGTCTTGGAATCTTTTATGTCAAATATATTTGGTGAAAGTTTAACAGTCTGAAGGAGGAAACTTCTATATCTTTGTTTATGGCTCTGATGCTTCCTGACTGAATTGTGTTCTTATACCACATCTTTGTTTTAAACCTAGAAAACTGTATCTTTTTATATGTATTCGAAAATCTAATATTCTCGTGTTTCGTGTCCGTATAAAGATGAATAAAAAATTTCGATTTTATGATGATCCTTCGAACAGAAAAATAATAGACATGAAGTATAGTAACCCCCTTTTATATACCTTGTTGTAATTTACTTAAATGATGCTCTATAATCTATTAAATTAATAAAATTAAACTTTTGCTAAATAAAGTCGTCTGAATTTTATAGATAAAAGCTTATACATTATAAGGACTAGGGAGCGAGTTAGGCTCTGAAATATACTAAAGATAATGAGATCTATTGAGTGACTAAACATCCCTCTTAAGAATGATTTATTTTTTCATTGAAAACGAACTAGAAATTTCATTCTAGACGTACGAGATTACATCTAAGTCTATTCTCGAGATTACATAAGAACAGACGTTTCATTTATTCATTCATTCATTTTTATTTACTATGTACTGTCAAGTACTGTACATACAAGTACATAAGAACAGACGGACGGACGGACGACAGTAAGAATTTATAGATCTGGAATTATTTTCAAATTGCAGCCCAATTTCAATAATTTCAGTAAACTAATTTACCAACAGAATCCAACTGTTAGGTATAAAAAAACATATCTTAAAATACAGTACTTTGCAAAACAAATTTTTATTAATTATATTTTTAACTAATTAACATCAAAAAAATTAATATAATATAACAAACTTTTAATAACAGATATTAATTTTATATTTATCAGAATTTTTAATAATTTAATAATAAATAATAATTATCAGAAAGTTATTATGTTTGTCGCTAGGTGGCGACACTAAAAAGTTATAAGTCGATTCAGATCGTTTACTGAATTTATTATTCAGTAAGTAGATGATATATTATAAAATATACTTAAATTAAGATATAAAATTAATTTAGAATTATGAATCGTAAATTAGTGAAATAAAAAATTAAATTTTTATCGCCATCTGTTGGAGATCGTGTGCACAACCAAAGGGGTTACAATCCATAATAGAATTTTCAGTTAAAGGGAGAATTCGTTATATAATATTGAATTTAATACTTCATACAGAAGAGAACAAAGCAATATTATATAAAGTAATGAAATGTTATTCATCTCTTTATTCAACTGGAAATTTTATACAGTTTACAAAACAAATACAAATTATTTTATATTTTTATAGCTAATAAAATGCCATTTATATAAATTATAAGTCCAATTTTACATAAAAGTGAAATCACTTAATGGTTAGACTTATATAGAAATTTCTTCTCGCATTAAGTGTCTAAATGCTCATTTAAATATGATANTATTTACTTTTCTGAATATCATATTATACAATGACACTGTGTAATTTAATGTATTAGAATGACACCTACAATTTATGCTTAGTTATTTATTTATTCATTCTTTTGTTAATTTCAGTTAAATAATTTGTAACTGATTAGGCAGTAATAATTGCATAAATCTTAATTTAAAAGATATTGATATGTTTAACTTTATTACGTCTTATGACATAATTTGTTGTTGTTGAAATCTGGTTACAAAAAAAAATTATGAAAATATATTATTAATAATAGCTGTAAGGAAATATAAACATCAGAATCCAGGTGTTCAAAGGTGTTTGCGATCATATTTCTGATTATAATCACATAATAACTAATAATTAAATTATAGTTTTTTTTTTTGCCTATAGAAAAAATTTTGGAAAATAATTAATTTTTTAATGAATGACTCTCTTAATAATTATAGAATTTTAAACAGAATTGAATTGAAACTAAATAAGATGCTAATAAATCTATAAATAATGAAAGATACTAATGCTAATAGTAATAAATAGTTTTTTAGATAGTGATGAAGTTGTTTTATTTTAAAAGTTGTTCAATAAATTAATATTTGAATTTTATTATTTATAGCATGGCTGGCCTTCATCAAGCTGCCCTCATGTGTAGTGTTCCTATTCTTCAATTATTACTAGATAGTGGGGCACAAGTAGATATTAAAGACAATAAAGGTAAATTTTTTTATTGGAAAAATTTTTACATTGAATCAAGAAACAGATTATTTAAATTGACATAACTTTATGTTTCACATTTTATAATCTTTTGTTTTCTCTTGCTTCTTATTGTTTTCCAAACACCAAATAAACTGTTTTGTTTTCATGAGTTTCATCTTACAACACCTAACAAAAAAAGAAAACAATTTTTCCTTTTTTGAAATGCACAATGCACTTTAGAGTAATGGCAAATACACATCCTCATGTACAGCTTGAAAATGAAAATAAATGACTTTAGCTTCCATCAATCTATTAATGTCCACTAACTTGAACATTGAAAGTAATTTCGTTCATATTATTTAAGTACTTTCAACTAAAAGTGTGAGGTTGTATCAATGGTGAAAACGTGGATGAAAGAACATATATCATTATTAAACTTTGTCCTTGTAACCTTTCATACTTTAGAGAAGAAAATTTCAGTAAGATTGAAAATCAGTTTTGTAAAGCTTTTATTTTAATACAATATTTATCTAAGTAAGAAACTTAACGTTATTTATTATTAGTATTATTAATCAACACATATATATTTGTGTATAATTTGCTGTTAATTTTCAATTGATGTGTTCAGTTTTGTGGAAAAATTATCATTTTGTAATCGTGAAAATGTCAATGTCATTATCCTTAGAGATAAATCTGTTGTTGTAATACATACACATATTCAGAATTGATTATTAATAACTGTAGTTTGTTTATCCTACAGGCATGAGACCACTTCATTATGCTGCTTGGCAAGGAAAGCCTGAAGCTGTAGCTGTGTTATTGCAGTACAATGCTTCTGTCAATGACCAAGCCTGCAAAGGAGAAACACCACTACATTTTGCTTGTCAGCATGGTCATTTAGAAGTGGTTTGTATTTTTTTGTTTTCTCTATTGCTTCAGTAAAGAAATATTTATTAGACATTCCAGAGATGTTTGGTATTAGAAGCGTACTCTTATCAATGACAATAGTCATTAAATAATGTTTATTGAGGTAGTGAATGTGAGACTATCATAAGAATAATTTAAGAGCTTTAATCTACTTGCATTTTTTTTCTAAATAATGTTCAGTTTAATAATGTTTGTCATATAGTTGTAATGTTATATTTTTAACAGAAGTTATTTAGCAGTTCATTAAAAAGATATATAATGACACTTTATTTTTTTATTGCTTAATTTCTGTTTTAAAAATGCAAATTAAGAATACTTTAAAAGTAAGAAAAACATTATATAAGTTAATTTATATATTTAGAAAACATAAAAACAGAATATCAGAAGCAATTAATTTAGTCACGTTCTCAATAATAATTTATACATATTTACAGACAAAAAAATTGCTTCAGTACCATGCAAATCCAACCATAAGAAATAAAGAACACAAAACTGCATTAGACGTGGCTTGCGAGTTTGGCCGATATCAGGTAATTTTATTTTTAAATTTGGAATATAATTTTTAAAATATTTGTAAAGTTTTCTAATTTAAATAAATATTTTATTAATTTAAATTAAAAAATCTTTTATAAATACACTTTTCTAAAAGTAATGAAAGCGTACATAATAATATATTTTAATTTAACTTTAATCTTTATATAGTATAATATAACATTTCAAAATAATATACAAAACTCTAAAATTAGTCATATTTTTTTTTATTGGCATTTAATAAAACTTAAACTACACATTTTCTAAAATAATGTTTATCTTTATAATAGGTTATTGAATTATTATTGCAAAGCAATAGGTGTAGATTTCTATTAGAGGAACATTGTCAAGATATGGAAGATAATAATCGAACTACTTGTCTTCATTTAGCTGCACGTAATGGACATGTGGATGTTATTAGGTATGTTAAAACATTATGTGTAATTTAAAAAATGTATATATATCAAATTTTTATGATTTTTATTTCAAGGCAATTTAATAAGAAATAGGAATTATATTTAACAACTGTTCTTGCTATTAGATTTAAATCCATTGAATTTCATAAGAAAATTTATTTAATAGATTATTATTTTTAGAAAAAAATCATTTAGAACTGATTTTAGGTGCAATCATTATTTCTATTGAATGCTCACTTTTTTCATATTTTATCACAAAATGTATTTTATAAAAAGAAAATACATGATTTTGTATTTTAAAAAGACTTTTTTATGGACACAAAAATTTTCTTTCTCATATAGAAAATAAATTTTATTTATTTATAATTCAATACAAAATTTTATATACAAAATTCATGTACCAGATGTTGTAGAGTAACATTTTTGTATTTTATATATTTTGTTTGGAGAATTATTAGAATTGCAGATGCAATTCAAAATTTTGGTTATATTATCACTTAGGATTTGAAATGCAAGTATTAAAAAAATAAAAATAATGATTTTCCTTTTTAAACTTAATATTAATGAAGTAAGTTATTTAATTTCAAATGTATATAAAAAGTACATATAAGATTTTAATGAAATAATAATATAATTTTATTTTTTAATTATTTAGAAAAATTATTATATATTTCTATACATAAATATATCATTTTTCAGAATCAATTGAAAATAAAAATTTCAATTTGTTAACTTATGTATAACTGTTTCAAATTCTAATTATTAATTTCAATATTTATAAAATGTTTTCATTTATATAATTTTGTGTCTGGATTATTATTAATATTTATACTTTAATTGCATGTTAAATTGGATATTTATAATAATTACTTGTTTATATATAATCATATATATTAATTTTGATTGTTTATGTTCATTAATTATAACAATGCCATGAACAATATAAATTACTTTCTGATAATTAATTAAAAATATTCTTTAAAGGTATCAATAAAATACGTTTAAGGAATGTTTGTCTTTCCTTAGATTTATTATATAAAATGAGAATAATGCAGAAATTAATTTAAAAAGTTGTTATTAGTGAAAACATTACTTAATTTTTTAAATAAACTTTTATTATATTTATTTTTCATTTCTTAAAGACTGATAATATAAGCTATAAATGTAAATTTTGTAATTTTTATTGCTTAACACTTTATAGATTTTAATTTTAAGATTTAATTTATTCCACATACATAATTATAGATTGTATATGGCTGTATTAATTAATTAATGAATTTTTATCTGTACTTTCTTATAATTTGCCGTCATAATGTTTTGATTTTAAGAGTATTATTATCCTGGTAAACTAGTGAACAAATAATTTATATTTAAGTGATATTAATATAATTGCTCTTGCAAATGGCTATTATATCTACTATAAAAAAGTTTTATTTGACTTTTTATCTTCAACAGATTACAATAAATTGTTTTGATGATTAGAAGTCAAATGAACGGTCTTTTAGATTAACTATCCTTTCCTTTGAGTATTTTCTTTTTAGGTTGTATTTTCATTTTTTCTGATTGATCAGTTCTTCTCTATTTAGCTCAGAATTTAGGTCTCTTAGGACTTCATAAACTTTTAAGCAAATATTTTCTTAATGTTTTTTATATCTATCTTTTTACATTAATGCTAAGAATTCTTTGATAACAAATTTTTCCTGTATAATTTGAATCCTTTAATTGAAAATTTTACTAAATTATTTGAAGTTATCCAATCAGATATACAACTTTAAGCAGAATTAAAAATTTTTTTAAATGGCAGTTTACTATAATTAGAATTTATAGTATAGTGTGCTACATGTAATTAACTTTTTGGTGTGAATTTATAATAGATTTATTTTATATATAAATTCAATAAATATTTATCAAAATAAATATATATATTTCTTAAATGATAAATAATACAAAGTAATTTCATTTTTTATTTAGAATTTTATTATTAGTATTATTAATCAACATATATATTTGTATATAATTTGCTGTTAATTTTCAATTGATATGTTCAGTTTTNTTCTAAACATTTTTTTTATTACTCATTTTCTTTATTTGGTTTGTTTTGATTTTTATTAATTAAAGATCATTATTAAATTATTGAATTTAATTTAATTTTAGATTTATTAATTTAAATTATAAGACTTGTTCCAAATTATGATTTAAATATATTTATGATATATTTTATTTTCTTAATGATAATATTTCAAAGTTTAAAAAAATCATATCTAATTTCAAAACTATATTAAAACTAGCTTACATTTTTTTATTATATTGCTGATGTAGATGAATTACATTCGTATAATACAGTTTATTGAAGATACATTTAGTTTTTCATTTACAATACATTACAAATAAAATCAATTGTTTTGACATAAATTATTCAAATTTATTATATTTAAAAACTTTATTTTAAAAGAATGACTTTGATTTTTTGAAATATTTAGTTTATATTAGTGTATTTTTGGAATACATATGTTTATTCTTTTATTATTGAAATTTTGATATATTTGGAAAGTTAATATGGTTAAACTTTCAACCATATTAAATGAATTTTGTACCTGAGAAGGAAAATGTTTATTTAAAGCAAAATAAAATTAAGTAAAAGTGTAAATTTTAAAAGTAAGGTTTTCTTTCAATATGATTTTAAGTTAGTACAATAATAACTTAAGTTATAAATAAGACATTTAAAAACAATATTAATATAATGTTACTGATAATGGCTGCATATTTATTGCATTGTCAGGAAAGAAAATTATTCATTTTGATGAGGTAAATTAAAAGATTTAATTGCACTGAAGTTGTTATTAATCAAAAATATTTTGATAGTTGGTAGAATTAAATTTTTTGTGTTGAGTTAGCAATAAAAAATTATATTGATTATATTAATTTAAATGCATATATTTTTAAAAAACATCTGACTTGGACTTTTTAGTTAACTGAATTGGGCTGCAATTTGAAAAAAATATAGACCTATAAATTCCCACTGTCATCTGTCCGTCTTTCCTTAATCCTGAGAATGGAGTTAGATAGATGAAAGATGAGATCAGATATGGAAACCTTAGGATAGGTAGCCCCAATTAACTATACAGAAACTTCCAGTGCAAACCAGAAGTCATGTTATTTTAATTCAAAAATTTTCTCTGAAAGGTGTTAGATAGATGACTAACACAACTCTATTGTTAAAGGTAAAATATAATATATAGGGGCAAGTCACTACTAATTTGAGGTGGAGACCATATATTTTAAGTTAAATAAATTATAAAAATATGATGAAAAATTACAGCCTGGCATTGAGACAATGTCACAATAAACAATTGCTTATTGATAATATATTTGCTTTGTAAACATTTTATTTCACTTTCATTTAAAATTTTGTCAAATAAGAAGTGATTTTAATTTGTTATATTTTAAAGTTTGGCATTAACATATCAAAGAAATTATATAATATTTTTGATTAATTTATATTTATGAATCTAATAATTGTCTTTGATCTATATGATTTATTTGATTCATAAAGAACTCTTAAAAAGTTTATTTGAATTATTTGTACTTCTGTGCAAACATGTCAATGACAGTGATCTCATATTACATGAATGATAACTGATTCTTTGAAATGAATATTTTTTATGATATTCTCTGGAACGTTTAGATTAGTTTTATCATAATTAATTTTAATTACTATATATGTTTTTCAATTCAAAGACAATAGGCAAAAATTTATCAGTATTTTTACACAGAAGATTGTTGCTTATGAGTGAGACACTAGCTTACTGTTTTATAATTTTATTAGTTTGAAAATTTAGACTAATTCTATTCATTCATTTGAACTAGTCTCAGAATATTATAAGCATATCAAACTGCATACAATACTATCATATAAATCAAATTAGATCATTTAATTATTCACTTAGAAACTATCTATTTCAAACTGTACTTTATTATATGTGGCAAAAGTACATGGTTCAGCTATATGTATCAGAAACAGAAAATAAAAAATTTGAATATCTATGAATAATATATATTAGATAAAATTGAAATAGTTACCTGTTCTTGAATTTTTCTGTGATGAAGTTTTTAACTTTTAAGATTTCATCTATAATCAATATCAAATTTTAAAATTAATATTACATATGTAAGTAGTTGCTATATAGTGCAGTCAACCCCCCCTATAACACTGTTGATTATTCCGTTTTATATGAATTCCATGTTGTACGAGTCACTTACATTTTTCAAATACGTGAGCCTGGCACACGTATTTGTAAAATCTAAGTGACTTCTACAACATGGAATTCATATAAAACTGAATAATCAACAGTGTTATAGGGGGGTTGACTGTATGAATTTAAATATTTAAATTTAAATAATAATATATTTTTTAATTATAAGTAAATTTCTTTATAGTTCATACTATGTTGCTCTATCATATTAATGAATCAATCAAATTTTATAAAGTAGAACTTTTATCAATTAATATTTTAATACATAAAGATTTAGGTTGTAAATCTTTGTTAACAAAATAAATTTTAAACAAACTTTATTAAAATAGTGAGAGGTAAAAATCTCCTTGATTAATTAGAACCAATTATATTTTTAAATTTTAATTACACACAAATTCAGCTTAAAAATTTTAATAGATAAGCTTTTCAAGTTATTAAAAAGATAAAAATTGTCTTTCTGTTGCTTAAATTAATTTTCTTGATTATACTTATTGTTATAATAATTTGATAAATATTGACTTAGCAAAATTTCATTGTTTAATAAAATTTACTTTAATATTTAACCAGAAAATTGGTTCATTAAATCAATTAAATCTAATCAATAAATCTATCAAAAGTTTAGCTTTTGATAGAAATTATTTTTCTTGAAAAACCTGAAATTGTTAAATAAAGAAGGTTTTATTGTTATTATAGAAAATTATCAATTTGCTAATTAAAATTTCTTAAGTTTTAAAATATTTTGTATCTTGTTTTTCTACATGAGACTTACTTATATTCATACTCCTTACAATTTCAGTTTTACATTGATTCATTCATTGCCATTGAAGGTCTATTGTTAGTAATATTTTATGTAAAAAGAATGTTCCTTCTGATAATGGAGTTGTTTCTTTTCCAAATGCTAACAATAAGCAAGCAAACTTATTATTCACTTTTGTTTCTTATTCATTTGATTTTAATAAAATAGTATTTATCAGTGGTGTGCCATATTTTCGTCCATGGAAGCTGTAGAAGCACCAATTCCCTTGTATTTTCTAAAATATAAATACATATTGTGCAATTATTTTTGTATTTTAACATACTTTGAATTAAATAAAATTAATGTTTTATTATAACCACATTATGTATCTTATTTCTATACTAAATATGAAAAAAATGATAAGATTGTTATTGTATATTCAAATATAAATTTGTATATGCATATTTCCAATGGAAGCGCTGTACTGTCGAATATGGGACAGCTTCCACGGCAAAAATATTTAAATGATGTAAAGCAGACAGATTATAGGCATTTGTGCATGCACTTTACAGAGCACCAACCTCGCATGGTTTAGCTCATGAATGCTACACACCAAAATATCATATAATGCTTCCAATGATTCTATCCAGGGTCGGCACAGCTTTTCTATCATCAAATGTCATCGCATGCCACTGGTATTTACAATAATATTAACATCCACAATAAGTTAACACCTTCTGTATATGGATAATATGGTTCTAGTTAACTTCATACATATAATTTTTTAATATTTCTGTTTAATATTAAATGTGTTAATACAATATAAAATAAAAGATATATCTAGTGTAACTTTCCCTTATTTGAATTTATTGTTAACATATTAATTCAAACTTATTATTAAATGATTTTGAGAATTTCATATGTTAATTTTCATTATTTTAAATTAATATCTTTCAAACTATTTTCTCTCATATCTGAACAAATCATTCTTATCCAACTCAATAATCTTTATATTGAAAGAAATATGTTTTGATAGTATCTATATATGGATAAATTTGCAACAAGCATTTGTTATTGAGTTCTAAATTTATAATTTTAATAAATTTCTATGTATATTAATTTATGATATAACATTTTAAAATTTTAATATAAAAAAGTTAAACCCCAAACATAAAAACTGCACTTTAGATTCAAATTAATTGCATTTAAAATTTAGTAAACAAGAAATTTTTAAATAAAAGAAAATTTAATTAATTTGGAGTTGTAAATTTTTAACACATTGCAATAATTTATTGCCTACATCTAAATACAAAATTTGAACTTTGATCAATGATAACAAAATAGAACTTTGTTCAAAGTTTAGAATTATTTTGAAATTATCTGTTCATGATTATGAAATTCTTTACATATACAGTATAGCATATGATTATTATTATAAAAGGTGATAATTTTACAATTTATTATTATATTAGCTTAACTATCAATGTTTCTAATTTTAAAAACATATTGTTGAAAGAGTTTTAAATTAAAAATCCATGTAGTGAACATTAATATTTATTGTACTTAAAATTTTTGAGTGACTAATTGCAATCCATAATTATTTATATTTTGTTAAAGAAAAATAATATCACGCTAACATTGGTAAAACATTAGGAAAATGGATTTTTTTGTCCTTGAGCTATTTCTTTTATAAAAATATATAAATCAATAATGAATATGTTTCACTATCTGTGTATTTACAAATGAGAATGTAAAAATACTTTATCAATTATTATAGTTTAAATATACTTATAAATTAAAGGAAAGATTTTTAAAATATATATTTTCTTCTGTTTTCAGTAGTATCGGTAATGTCCTGAAAAAAAAAAAAAAAATAGTGAATTATATAGAATGTATACTAATGTATTGAAATAAAAACTCATTATATTTTAATACTAGACATTTTTAAAATAAAAATATTTATCTATAATCTTTTTCTGTTATAATTGAAATTTTCAAAGTTAAACAGATGGAAATATAATTCTGTAATTAGAATTATAGCAAATAGAATCATATTGCAATATAATTCTATTGAAATTTTGTATCTTATTATTAGTTAAATAAATAAAAATATCAATAAAATAAATTTATGTTATAATTTTATTTTTATATTTTTTGAATAATAGGAAAAGAATAAAAATTGAATAACAATATTCAATTCAAAGAATTTATATATTTAGCATATAATTATGATAGTAATTTTTATTTATTTATTTAAAGAAAAACTAAGCAATACAACAGAGCTGCAAGAAAAATCATTCTTTTCAACAACCTATAATATAATTACTATCATATAACAAAGGCATTCAAATCTAAGGCTAAATTTACTGTTTTACTTAAAAATTTAAATATTATTGTTTATAAATTTTTGTAAAATATAATTGTTAAAATTTTGTTAGAATCAAATAAAAATTTAAAACTTATATTTTATAATTGTATGCAATGCAACATACAATAAAAATAATCATAATTATCAATTAAACTTTATGAGCGAAAAGGGAGTTTCCCTGTTGCAGGGAAACTCCCTTTTTTTTTTTTACCATATTTACTCACATATAAGACGAGGTTTTTATTCATTTTTCACTGCTTCAAAAACCTAGGTCGTCCTATATGCGCAAGCAAAGGATTCTTTTCATTTTTGCAATAATCTTTGAAAACTGTGTATTTGTATCTTTTTTACCAGATTCTCACTTTTCGCCTAAGTAATAATCATAATTATTACTTAGTTTGTATTAAACATTAAAGAATGTTTTTAATAAATGAAATTTAATACAGTTTACATGCTTGGCTAAAAAAGTCTCACAGATTGTTTTTATAATCATTAGTAAAATGTAACTTGTATAAAAATACTGCACCTAATTTGTATGCAAGAAAATTAAAAATTAATAAAAGTTTGAAATTAGCATAGTCGACTTTAAATGTCAATAATTAAAATTTATAATTTTAATTAAAGAATTATTAATTGCTAAGTTGTTATAGTAAATCTGTATACATTTATAACAAAGTTATATGTTAATAACTAATGAATGATGATCTAAATTTAAATATTATTCAATTTGAATTATAAAATATTAATTTTGATAAATATTTTAATTTAAATATTTTAAATTTGTAAAAGTAACTAATACATTTAAAATCAAAATGCTTTATTAGTTATAAAATAATTTTCCTCTTTTTATTATTTGCCAGTGTTGATTTAAATTCTAAATAAAAAATAAATGGAAAATAACACATGAAAAATACTTTACAGCTGAAATCTCCAAAATTTACATTATTAAGTGCATGATTTTATTTACTCATTTGATAAGATCAGATCTTAGTAAGAACAGAATTTAAAATCATCATTAAAAATGCTAATGAGGAATATTATCATCATGTTAACTTATAAAACAATTTTGTTAGCTATGTGAGTATATTTTGAATGCTATCATAATAAACCTGATTTATTGACTTAGAAAGTATGTAAAGAAGAAAGATTCAGTTGCTCATGCTACTTATGTTCCACTAAACTTTTTGTATCACAGAAAATTATTTATAGCTCTCTGCCTATAAAAAACACTGTAATTTATATTTTGTTGAATAAATAAAAACTTTACTGCATACATCAGTATAAGTATATTTATATATTTAAATGTTTAAACTAACAATTAGTTTTTTATTGATATTAATAATGACCTTTTTAATGAATTTCATATACTGAAATGTATCTGTAAATGTAATGAAATACATTGTTAAAAATCTACAATATCATATTAAAAATGAATATTAAAAAGAAATTTTTCTTTAAGGATTACAAAGTAATTAAATATATATTTTAATCAATTAAATAAGTACAGAAAAGTTTGGCACAAAATTAAGTCATGTTATGTTTCACATGTGAAATATAAGAATTCTGTAAATTGTTTTTTTTTTTTTTTTTTTTTTTTTTTTCCTGCTCTGTCATAATATTATTTACCCACTTTAAAGCTNTTTTTTTTTTTTACCATATTTACTCACATATAAGACGAGGTTTTTATTCATTTTTCACTGCTTCAAAAACCTAGGTCGTCCTATATGCGCAAGCAAAGGATTCTTTTCATTTTTGCAATAATCTTTGAAAACTGTGTATTTGTATCTTTTTTACCAGATTCTCACCTTCTGGTGTTTAAAAACAAAAGTATTTTATGTGGGTTGTTTGAATTGTTCTTGTTTATTGTCAGGAGTAAAGATGAAGAGCAATAGGAAAAACAAGGATTTTGAATTGAATTCCAAAATTACACGTGAGCTCGATATAAATTTTAATTCATTCTCACGTGAAAACATGATTATTTGGAAATCAGAATTCGGAGAAACTCATAAGTGTAATTGACGAAGAGTGAATTCAACTGTTACAAATTGGCAAAAAAAAAGGTTCCCAATTATCCAGCTTTACATGAACGAATTACGTTGTTGATTTTACAAGATTTTTCCTTAACATTTAAAATGTTAGTAATTTTTGCTGGACAATGTGTGCATTTACGTGCATTTGATATTTTATTTGTGATTAATCAAAATAAAATTAGAATTGTATTAATAAATCTAATTTTCTTTATTTTGATCTTTAAAGTCACACTTCGTACTGTATGTGAGATTGTCTTATATGAGAGTAAATACAATATTTTAAATTCTTATCTTTCTTTTTAAAGATATATGCTTTGATTATCTATATTTTTATATAGGTAATTGAAGGGTAGGTAATTTAAAAATTCAAGTTAATGTTGAAATAAAAAATAAAAGTAAGATTAAAACTATGAACTAAGAATTTCAATAATCTAGATAAATTTTATTAAATAATAAATTAGAGAAAAAATTGTTTTCATTTTTTTATATTATCTTATTGATGTTCTTTTAAAGATCTAATAAAGTTTTTAATATTATAGATTATTAGTAAAATATGGAGTAGACATCAACAGATGTACACTCAGAGGAACAGCTTTACATGAAGCTGCAATGCATGGAAAGCTGGATGTTGTAAGACTTCTAATTGAAGTAAGTGTTTTATTATTTTAAATAGTCAAAAAATATGTTTTTTATATTAAATATTAAACGTATTATATTTAAATTATATTTTACATTTATGCAATAAATGTAAAATATAATTTAATGTAGAAAGTGATTATTTTGAAATATATTTGTAAATTATTCAAATGTTAAGACTCTGTTTACAAACTTTTCAAACTTTAAAACATTAATATTTCAGATAGAAAAATGATTTTTAATTAAAATAAAGATGCCTTTTTCTTATGCTATAGTTTTTAAAATAAAATTACAGTTAAGATTATTTTACACTCAAGTTTTATTTCAAATTGATAAATTGTCTTTCAAACTTTCTACTTTTATTATCATTTGTAAATTAAATTTACCTAACTAAATTATTTATCTTGTTAAAATTATTATATATTCAATCAAGTAACATGTTTTTTTATTGAAAGAAAGAATATAATGATTAATAATTATATATACAGTGAAACTGTCTTAACAGACATCTCTCTAAAGCAAACATCCGTCACCAAACTGGACAGTTTTTGTGGTTTGATAAATTTATTACAATTAACCTCTCTTAAGCAGACACTTTTCATTACAGACACAGAGATGATTGCCCTGTGATTGATGTCTTAATCCCCTTAATTGACACAATAGATTCTCAATAAGTTGTTTTTTCTTGTTTGAAATTTTGTTGTTGCAGTCAAATTAATTCCAAAAACTCACTACTATTCAAAAAATTGATTTGACAGTACAATTCCATTATGACAGTAAAATTTCTATGTTGGCTAACTTGCTGTTATATGAGTTTGCTTAATATCTGTTTACATCAGTCTGTAGGAAGCACATACACTTATGATCATAATTAGCAGAAACAATGCTTTTCAATGCACTAACACAATGCAATCACATCAATGAGGGTTGGTCAAAACAGTTCTGTGGACATTCTTTCAGGTCTCACAATTGTCATATTTGTTGTCTTGCACATTTTTCACTTTCTTTCTATTTTCATATTCTTGTATTGTTTATGATGGATTGAAATTTTTTAAATAGTCAATCAACAATAGGTGTTTCATTTTTTGATTGAATACATCATAAGCAAGAAGTAGTGTCAGTAGCTTACATTAAAATCCATATTTTAATGTAAGCTACTGATCTTACTATGAATTTATTGTCAAATGACCCATTTGGCAATTAATTCAGCAGGTTTTATTTTGGCTGTAAAGTCAAAATGAAACCTACTGTAGAGCTAGCAATAGTCATACAAACAGATCCTGAACTATGTGAACAAACTTAAGTAATTTTACATCAGTAGAAAAGATTCAAACAGTACAAAGCTAGTACAAAATTTAATTATACATAGTGAGAAACAGATTGCTAAAGTCAATTGTAAGAAATAAGCAATCATAACCAAGTTTTTAAAAACTAATAGTGATCCTCTTATGATAATTTATCACTTACTGTAATGTGTTGTATTACTATTTTTTTGCAAGATTTGTGTATTATATGTTTGTAAATAAAAATAATGTATGATGTTTTACTTAAAGATAATTTTTTTTTTATGAATCCTCTCTTGAGCAGATTCCTCTCTTGTGAGAATGTTTTTGGTCTCGCAAATGTCTATTATAGAATGGTTTTACTGTACATATTTTATTTTGAGAATATTTGTAATTATATATAGTGCTGTTAAAAAGTAGAAAATGCATACTCATTCTGATAGAATATAAATTATTATAATTAAAATAATTAATAAAATTTATACTTGAAAAATTTTTATTCATTTTTCTTGTCATGAGAGAGAGAGAGAGAGAGAGAAGATAATATATTTTATTTATGTACTTTTTATGAAAATAATGAATGCAGTTCTCTTACATGAAATGAGAAAATTTAATTTCAGCAATTTCTTTACTAAAAATTTACATTTGAAAGATATTAAATTTGTACAAAAAAGAAAAAAAATTTAAACAGAATTTTAAAGCAAATTGAATTGAAGATAATTTGTCACAAACTTACCTGTTAAGCTATAACAAGTTATTTGAATATTATAAATTTTATGTAATTCTAGAAAATAAATTTTATATTGATAATTATAAAAATTAAAATAAATTTCATTAAAATAACTATATAAATTTGATTTTCATATATAAAATATCTTTCAATAAAACTGTGAAAGTATACATTCAGTTTTTAATCTTATTTTTTATTATATGATATTAATTTGAAAACAATAGTTAGTATGTGAATTGTTCAATGATATTTACAATTTATTAAGTAAATAATTTTTACAAAAATACAGTGAACTTGATGTACCAAAAACACAAAAGCATATAAGTTTCTGGATTATCTTAAATTTAATTTATCCAAAAGACCCCTGGTCACATTAAGTTCAGATAATCAAGCACTGTGAATTTAAAATTTCATGAACTATAAACATTTTAATGCAATTATTGTATTTGAAAGTAAATTAATTTACTCAAAATCTAACATAAGGTTATGTATATGACCTAGTTTCTTGGCATAGTAATCAACAGATGATGTTGTAATCTCCAGTTACATGAAGAGTTTGGTCTCTGTGTAATTAAATTCTGTGGTATATACAATGCTACACATTCTAGTTTTTTTTTAAACATTTTGGATAATCTGGAGTTTCAGATAATCAAGTACATGCATATAATTAAAAATATTTATAATAATTTGTTATATGTTCTTCAAATCATTTCTTATTATTTCAAGTCATATTTTTATTATTTCTAATTTTAAAGTTTTCATTTTATTTCTGATAAAAGATTTTGATCTTTAATTCATTTTGAATGTAATTTAAAACTATAACATTACTAAAATGAAAAGAATGAAAGATATTTTTACTTGTGTAGTTTGCTCGTTTTACAAATAAATTAATAATAAATCAGATTACTTTCTGACAAAAAATTCTTTTGAAATTTCTTGTTTTTAAATTTATAATAGTTGTGAATATAATTTTATCTTTAATAATTTGATTTGAGTTGGTTGTTCCTTTTATTTAAATAGATTAAAACAAATAAATAGATTTTGAATGATTAGTAAATAAAAAATTTATATTTAATATAGACATCATAAATTTGCTTAATAATTTAATATCTTATTTAGTTAATTTAAAATATAAGATTTTATTTATAAAATACTGAAATACATATTACATAAATTCAGTTTTAACAAATAGAAAAATAACTTGAATAATAAATGAAATAAGTATTTATTTAATAAATTGCATTTATTTTCAAATAAATCGTATATATTTAATATACATTATCTTCAATGAAAATTTTCTGTTTGAGTAAATTATACAGTATTTAAATTAGATATTCATATATACTTTAATTTATTTAAGCAGTTAAAAGCCTTCTAGGTTTATGATGTTTTTGAACTAGAACTACACAATATATTAACATGCATTCAAATTTTACTTTTTCTAAATTTTTTTTACAAAAAAGTGTCTATATGTGCTCATATATGTATATGTGACAAATGTTTGGAAAAATATATGGTNAAACAATAAGAAATACATTTTTTTTTTCATAATTAATTTCAGTACAGAGTTCTTTAGAAATACTGCTGAAATATACATAAATAATACCTTAAATGTATAAGAAAACAATTGGCAAGTAATGAAATTAGTAGTAAAAAGATTTATTTAAATAACTTGTCATACATTCTTACAGCTATAAGTCCCTTTACAGGGGATGAAGTTTATCAATTGTATTTCAATATATATACCACGAATTTACACAAATATACCGACAGAAGAATATATCAATTATTGTTTAAATATATCCCAGTATAAATATGCTTAAATTAACCTTACCATTAGAGGCAGCATCCCCAAACCTTATCTAAAAACTATAAACATGCTATAAGCATAAATACTAATAAAACAATGAAGAAATTAAACAATACATTGCGAATATTCAATTATTAAAAACTTAAAGCTATCTTAAAACTACGTATTATATATCCCATAAAACTGCAGCAATGGCGCAAACATGGAGGCAGTTCGTTCTAGAAACTTCCATACGGCGACCTTAAAAGTTCATTTTTTGGCAATTTAAATGCTATAAAATGGATAAATATGTTCGTTTATAATACAAAATAGCAAAACAGAGTCATTCTTCATAGAAATAATTCCAATAAAATCCAATTTATAACGGAATATTACAACGACGTACTGCTACATACCGCATAGAAATACTTACCTCCTCCTAATGAGGTCAAGAATGCGCTTCCTGGCCTTTTATAACCTCTACGGACTTTTCACCGTGCACATACGCTGCGGAATGGAAAAAGAGTTCTAATGCGGTTGTATATATTTCTATAAAAATTAATTTTTAAATTTCGGAACTTATTTTATTTAATTTAATATCGTAAGATAACATAGATTATCGTTAAAATTTGAGTTATTTTACAAACTAAGAAAAATTGTTCGGCGAAAGATTATTATAGTACCACGACGCGCTTCGCTTATGGCGTAACGGAAACGAAATTCGATACGTCACGTGTTACGTCAGTTTCGATTGCGTAAATTTTTTTAAAACTATTTTCTTTATTTCGTTCGTTTGATTGGCGAAATATGTTTTCATATTTAATACAAGTAATATAAATATTTTTATATATAAAATAAAAAACAGGTATATTAAGTAAAATAAAAAATGTTTTTCTGTAAAACTTTGTAATATTTTCTGTAATGCCAGTATAATAAGTCCTGGTAATAGAAGATACAATCTTATAGACGAAAATTTATATTTTAGTAAGAAAAAAGGACATTGAGACATTTTAATTATGCATTAAAAATGTTTTATTAAAAATTATATCATCATGACAAATAAATCAATACTGTCAACATTTGTAATAAAAAATAAACAAATTTTAATTCAAATGATACAGTTTGAATTAAGAAAGAAAAACATTGTTTTGAAGAATGATTTTAATTTAAAGATGTTTTGTTTTGCTTTATTCTGTCATATAATAGCAGGAAATCTCCTTGAACAATATCATGAATTTGTAATGAGTTAATTAATTTGTCAGTTTTATAAATAAGACAATTAATAAAAATTAGATTCATGAGTAATTTTCCATAATATAATATAAATCACAATAGTTAGATATACTGCAAATTTTAAATTTATTCATGTGAATCTATTGTTTTGAAATGTGAATGTTTTTGAATTACGTAATGACTTACTATATTATTTATCATGAATATACTGTATTTATTGGTTATAAAGTAGGTCACGGTTGATGTAATTGCAGCAGTGACATATTAATGTAAAATGAAACTGGAAAAGTGAATATAATTTAAAAAAACCAATAAAATAGGAAGAATTCGTAGTTTAAAATTAAATAGAAAAAATGAAAAAAAATAATAATTTGATGTTCAATGCTTTAAATTACATTTGAGTATGCAGTGGCTAATTTTATATTTCTAAAACACCTGAAAATCCCCATAAGAAAAACCAAAATACAACTTATTTATAATTTATTGATTTTTTTGATAGGAGGCTCTACAAATTCTATAAACAACAACACAAAGTTATTAAATATTTTAAAATTAATTTCAACTTTTGTGCATTAATGCTCTCTAGAAACAATATCCTGTAAATATTTTACTGGAAAAATTAAATAATAATATTTAACAGTTAATTTTAAACACAATTAAATGTGGAAAGATTGAAATTTAATATTTTATAAAGAATCTATTCTTCTATCATGATATATTTAACATTATAGTTAGGATTTCAATACTTTTTCTAATCACAGATGTTAAACTAAATTGTGAGACATTTAAGGAACAGATGTTTATCACTTTCATTTAAAGGCAATCTTGAAATATGATAGTCCATAAATTAAAATACTTTCATTTCATTCCTAACATAGCTACATTAAAAAAAAAAAAAAAAAAAAGGGAAGGTCATATTTCCATTCAAGGTACCTTCTGTCTCTATTTTGCCTTATTTGATGCCATATTTTAAAAAATTTATCACCATTACATTTAATTAATGTAGCTAAATATTGTTAAATTTTTGAATTTAAATTTTATTTATTGAATAATCAATTTTTTTATTTTTTTTTTGTATATAATAAATTAAAATTTGTTGGTATGAAAGTAATAGTAATTTTATCATAAAAGTTTTATCACGTTAAATTAATCTAAATTTTATAAATCATTTATTGAGAAAACAATGAGAAAATTGAAGTAATAAATTATGAAATTTCTGAAATATATTTGTGTGAGACAACAGATGTCGCCACATCAGTTTTTTTTTTATAATAGAATGAATTAAAACAGATGATACTTTCCGATTGGTAATTATTAATCACGTCATTTACGAATTTAAAAAAAAGGGGGGGGGTTGCGTGAATCACGTGACTTATCATTGTCGGATTAGAGTCGAAGATAGTATCACGCAGTGAATAATAATGAAACGTCGAAAGAAAAAAATAAAAAGTGTTAAGTCATTTATTTATTATTTCTCTCTTCATGCATGATATTAAACGAATGATATAACAGAATTTTCTGCATACTTCGATGATTATGGTTCAGTTGTCATGCTTAGGAATTACTGTCGCAACCGCAATAGATAATCTGTTTACATTATCAATATTTTAATAGATCAGATCAGTTTATATAAAGGCTATATTTGTCATTCGTGTCTCTGCTTTAATGAAAGTGGAACGAGTTTAATTTTTTATATTCTCCAAGCTACTATTATATTATATATAGAAGATCCGATTAAGATACCGAAGAAAAAAATATATATATTATTTTCTCACGCATCTTTGTTTTATAAGCTTGATTCGTGTTTATATGTAACCGAGCTTATAAATATGTAACTGAAATATCTAATAATATTTCAATTACAAGTGTCTAATACAAGTCGACCCCCTATAACACTGTTGATTTTTCCGTTTTATATGAATACCATGTTGTACGAGTCACTTAGATTTTACAAATATGTGAGCCGTTCACAGCCCGGCACAAGTATTTGTAAAATCTAAGTGACTCGTACAACATGGAATTCATATAAAACGGAACAATCAACAGTGTTATAGGGGGGGTCGACTGTAATTAATAATAATATACAAACAAACAAATAAATACAAACATACACTGTGTGTGTATTGTAGTTCTACATTAAATATAAATATATGCCTTGGTTAAAGGGGCTCCCAAAATTTAAGAAAAAACATAATAATAATAATAATAATAACATAAAAGGCATATAAATCAAATTTTTGTAGTGTTTTTTAAATCGATTTTAAAAAATGAAATAATTTAGAAAACTTGTTAGTTATTTTTTCACGCACCAGATGTCGCCACGTATTGCATGGGAGGACGATCTTCCGATAAATAAAGTAGTTAGAAGAGTGTACGGCGGGAGAGGATCAGTTAATTTATTTGACAGCCTTATCCGGTTATATATAGATCTGGAAGAGGCAGCCATAACTAACGGGATTAACCAGATGCAACGTACATCCATAGATAAGGCGGCTTCGATTCTATTCAGCCGGAGAAGGCCACAAACTTTTCTTATTTTTCGCTCTAACATAATTAGATAATTAGTCACGCCACGTCGAACGAAGGAAGAGGCGAAAAAAAAAAAAAACTGCAAAGGTCTCGAGCAGAAGTAGCTGGCGGTCTCGACCTTAATAATTACTCAATAAGCGAAGGAAGTGAGCGGAAGGAGGCAAACACACTTCACACAATTATTTGTGTAGAAATAAATTGGAAAGTGGCATGTCGTCCGTGACGTCATCGACCACTTCCCGAAATTCGATCTACTTTTATGTAAGAGCACAAAAACTCGATTGTATTCGAGAGGGAATTCTTCACCCCCTCCGAAATATCTGGAAGCTATCTTATAGATGAGACTATTTCAAAAACAATTTAAGATTCGGTTAAGTTATCGGATCGAAGAAAGTCGATCCAACTGTAGATATGTAGTTCACACGGTCCAAGTACTTTGTAGAAAATAGAGTCGAAAATACGCCTTTTTTCTTCCTATCCGACGCCTTTTATTTGTTACCTTCCGTCCCATTTAGTAATGGGTCATCTGGCGGATTCGGTCAGGAAAACCATATTATAAAAAGTCGAGATGTTCACTGTCGTGACGTACAATTAGAACCCCCGAAGAACCCAATTCTTTAGCAATTATTTTTCGAGATTTCTAATAATTGTAGGTTCGTGCCATTAAAATTTGTAGCGTGCCCTATTTTATACTCTTCCAAACTGTTCTTTTTGAATTCGAGTGTATCCTAAATGGAGCCCCATCTCCCTCACCCTAATCCATATCCTTACAATTTCGAGGACCTATAAGTGAGGCCTTATTCAGGTTATTTTTCATTCTTCAAACTCTCACTCCATTAGGGCCTTCGCATTCGTGAGAACTGTAGTTTGTTTAACTTTATTCAACACGAAGATTTTCGAAAAAAGAAAAAAAAAAAGACGGAAAATTTAAGACAGTTTGATGAGAGTTGTGCCACTTAACCATGGCAATTTGTGGCCTCTCGATCATTTAAAAGTTAAAGTAACGGAACTCGATACGGAAGAATGAAGCCAAAAAATTCGATTTCCTTATTACCTAATATCTGATTATCCAGATAATAATCGGGGATTAAATTGATCACGTTGTATATCTTCAGATTCTTTAATGGATTTAACAGTCGAAGAGCTCTTTCGAGTGATGTAGATTTCATCTAAGAATATTTATGTAAATCAGATAATTCACTAATAAATTTCCTTTGCAGAAAATAGATAATACAGAGAGAGAGAGAGATACCGGTGAGATGAGGATTATGTTTGTCTTTAGAATGATGGATGGAAGGAATGCTGGTCACGTGACGCCCTGTCAAGTCAAAACTCTGTTAGGCTATCTGTTTGAATTTATTTGACAGTCTGATCTCCATTGCGTAGTTAAAATGCCGGAAAAGCGGTACTAGACATTTTCACGTTTTTGTTTGGATGGGGGGAAAACCATGAAAATTTATTATTAAAATCTAACGTCGTTTAGATTGTAGGAGGTTTAAGGAAATTACTGTCGGAATTGAAGTTAATGATGCCGGATGCAACTCAATTAAAAACTGCATGAAATTTTGTACTTTTTCATCTTTATGAACTTTTAATTATTTAAAAAGTTCGTATAATTTTAACTTATTTATTAATTAGATGAAAAAAAAAAAAGGAAAATGGAGGCATTCTCTTTACTTTTTGAAGTGAAGAAGCTGACATTAAAATTGGCATAGAAATAAATAGTTTTCTATATTCGTTTATTTTTCTTTATTATAGAGAAAAATTACGAGAGATTTTTTGAAATCTAATCCAGAAACGGATGACGTGTCGTTACTTAAAAACACTCTTATAGAACACACCTCGATTGGATAGGGCAAGATGAAAGCTTTTTATCCTTAGAACGAACGAGAAAAGGGATCCCATTGTAGGAAAATCTCCTTTCTCGCATCCTCGAAAGAAGTCCGAAGGGAAATTTCTTTTATTTAAATGGACGTAGGAAGTGGGGAGAAGGAGCAGACGAGGAAGGGACAGGCACTAATTGAAAGGCAAACAAAGGCTCCGGAGTAAAAAAAAAATTGGGCAAATGCGATGGCGCGTGGAGCGTATTTTGGTACAAAAGGGGACCAATCAATGCAATCTGCTAGGAGAGACACCCTCGCCGGCGGGAATGTCATCCGCGTCGCCCTTGATTAATTGTCCGATGTGTGATTGCTTCCTCTTTTGTATTGCAGTGCGGCATCGACGTCAACAAACCCAACTCTTACGATCAGACGGCATTGGATATCGTGCGATCTTTCACTTCTTGCCAAGCCGAGAAGGAGATGAAGCAGCTGCTAAAAGGTAAAACCCGATTGCTAGGTCGAAAGAAAGGGTTCGGTTCTTTAAAAGGAAGAAGAAGAAGAGTGGCGCTCTTAGCTCCAGTCTAGCCCTTATCTCCGTGCCAAGTTGCCAGTAATGAAGTGTGCAGCTCATTAATAGAGAGAAAGATCATAAATTACCCGACTACTTAGCCTGTCGGAGGAGAGATAGGAAACGCGAATTAGCGGCACTTCTCTCCGACCCGACAATTGCTGCGTACCACTTGGAACAATCCATTTTCCATCCCGGTGGAGTATACAATTAGAGTTGTTTCCGATGGAGAAACGAACCCTTTCCCACCGTCCAAGAGGGCGCGACCGATTTTAGTGGACATTTTTATTTTGTTTTTTTTTTTTTTCGCAGAGATCATCAGCGCCGTGGAGGCCAGGGCCATCAGAGATTTCGACGACCCCGCCGACTCGGAGTGCTTGGCTCTGAAGGAAGGAGACATCGTCAACGTAAGGATACTCTCGATTTCTTCCGCTCGGCAGGCGCGAGTGAAGAAGGCAGGAAATGGCGGAAGTTACGGATCGAGTGCCGGAATGCCTCCTCCTCCTCCATTTCTCCGTTTTACGTCCTGCCGTCGGCTATGAATAAAAAAAAAAAAGCGGCTTATCGAAGGAACGACGCGTCGGATCGGCCGATCGGGTTTCGCTCGGTCAGGTTATGCACGGTTTCGTAATTGGATCCGGTGTTTCGGGTTATGGAATTGCCGCGGGTCACGTGATATACGTTAATCGGAAGGCGCCGGTTGTAATCACGTGATGGCAATGCTTAGTTCCGGTGCAGGGAACGAGAAGATTAAGCTGGAAATTCGCTACGTTAAGTAATACGAGCGCGACGGAAGTCGAACGTGCTCGAATTCTAATCGATAATCACAATAACGTTAGAGTTTTATTGACGGGCGAGGATTTAAGACGGATATCACGTGATGTAAACTGAAATGACTCGGAAGGCGCCTAACCGGATAAACTGCGCCATAATAGTCACGTGACCGAAAACCCGATTGGGAAGGACGGCGCTTCACGTGGCGAAAAGGGAATAGAAACGCGGTTAAAGTGGATTTTCTTTACTCCAGGTGCTGGAGCAGAGTTCGGACGGAAGGTGGAAGGGTATCATCTTCAACCCCAACAGGACCTCCCGCACCGGCTACTTCCCGGCTACGGCCGTCCAACTACTCAACAGGCCAGGTAAGTGTACAGCGCGGCGAACTCCCCCGGCCGGGAATGGAGCCATCCCGAGTCGGGCCAGCCAGACAGGTAAAGGTAGCGCAGAGAGGCACGGGGACTGTCCCGAGTGGCGTCCCTCCAGCCCGCCGGACACGCAGACGGACCAGGACCGCGCCCAAGGGAGGAGGAGAAGCTCGAGATGCCCAGAAAGCTGACGGGTGAGTGTGGATGTGTCTGGACTGGAAGGGTCCACTCCGGACGGCGCCGGGCTAATGACCGCTGCCATTGTCTGCCATTTCCTGTGCATCTCCCGTCTGTCCCTCCTTGTTTCCGTTCTTCGCTCGCCTAATTGCTGCTGCCGTTGCAGTGGGAGGCATGCAGAGGACGGCCACCCTCAAGTCGTCTACCATCAAGAAGGTGACGCCCCCCATCGCACCCGACCTGACCAATCGACATTCCGGTTCCAGTTTTTCCAGCGGATACGGCAGCCAGGCCACCGTCGATAGGAACTCTTGCGGCAGTCTGAGCGCCGACGACGCCTTTTCTCCCGCACCCGGTTCGCCACCCGCCGGTAAGATCTGCTTTTTTTTTTGTCACCGCCCCGACCGGTTCCGCTTCTCTTTTCGGGTCACATGACTCGAACGGCTCTTTATTTCCAGATGACTACCCCAAGTATCCGGGCAGCTGCGCTACCCTGTCGTCCCCCAACCGGCCTCACTTCTGTTTCCCGGACGGACAGGTGAGTCGGAATTCCCCCTCCGTTGCTCCTCCCCCGCTCTTTTGACGGTTTCTTCTTTATCTTCCGTAGACGCAATACGCCGAAGTCATCGTCCACCCGCAGCCCGACAGCACGCCCGGCACCCCCACGCACGAGGTCCCGCATCCGTTGGGTACCTCCACTACCAGACACCACAAGTTGCACGTCACGCACGCGCTGCTGGAGGACCAGGGCATAGACGTAGGTCCTTGTCCGGGCCGAGACAGTCCGGGAGGGAGCAGCGGCAGCAGTACCAGCGGATCCAGACACAGCACTTCCAGTCTAGACAGCGGAAGGGCGTCGGGATCGGACGTCAAAGTTCCCTGCCGTCTCTCGGGTCACAGTTACGAATCGACGCCCCGACACAGCTGTTACAGTTCCAACTCCAGTCTGGGCAGCGTGGACAGGGTCACCGAAGATGGACACACTTCTTCCTCTTCCACCCCGGCCGTCAACGTGGCCGAAATGGTTCTGCACGGCATTCCGGTACGTAAACCCTCCTCCTTTCTGCTCGGACTTAACAGTATTCCATTTGTTTACGGAGGAATCGCTCTTAATTCGAGTTGGTCGGTCCGGGGAGGGATGGGACCGTCGGCGGATCGGAAGCGACGTCCGAGGCGGGTTAATTCTCGCCGGTCCTTCGGAGTTTTCTTTCATTAATGGAAAAACGATCGGCGGGAAGTAAACGAGGCGAAATTGCGGCCGGGACGATGTTTAGAAGTGGCAAGGCGTGCCAGTCGGCGGGAAGCCAAATTTGCCTTAACGAGGAAGGTTCCCGCGGAGCGGAGAAAACCGACGTCTCGGCTGGGACGGAGGAGAGGGCCCGCCGCGGGGTCGGTGGAAGTGGAAGGGCGCCGCGGCATCACCGAGCCGTCGTCCGGGTGGCCACCGACGTCACGTGACGGTATCGAACTAATAAGAAGGCGAAGCCGACCGAGGAGTATTCGAAGCTACTCCAGTAGGCGACCGGCTCGGGTCCGGACGGGCGGATACCGCGCATCTGGTTCCGGATCCGTATGGATGCGGTTAAGGTAACGTCTCGAGCGACTTATCCTCGCGGCCCGGAAAGATTCCTTTACCGGTCACGTGGGCGCCTCTCCCGATTCTCTTTTCCCGCGCGCGGATCCCGTCGGCGCCGGTTTCCGCTTCCGGTAGCATTTCGGACACCGCGTTTCTCTCCGGGGCTTCTTTCTTTCCGGCCCGTTTTTATCCGCGGAGGGCCGTCGACCCGGAGGTGAACGACTCGTCTACTACCGGTTCGCACCCATCCCCCGGTCTGGCCGGGCCATCGGAATTTCTCGCCTCGGCGGATCGGAACGCCCATCGACCGAGCGCGGCCCGATCCGGATTCGGAACGCTCTAAAATATTTTTCTTTTGCTCTGTGTTTTCTTTTTTCTGTGGACGTGCAGGACGTGGACGTGCTGACGGCTTGGTTGACCAGTCTGCACTTCGAGGAGTACGTTCATCTGTTTTTGCAGGCCGGATACGACATGCCCACCATCTCCCGAATGACTCCCGAGGTGAGTGTCTCGACCTTGGTCGTTCTTTAGTTCCGTGGGCGGAGACGCTTTCCCCCTACCGAAAAAGTCGATGGTGGATAAACTCCTGTTCGATTCCGAGACTTTTTCGGTGAATGGCCGCCGGAGTGGGCGGTTTCGCGCCCTTGTTTTTGTTCGATACGCCCGGTTGGTGGGTGGTTCGACTGACTTTATCCGATCGAGTGTCGAGGAGGAAACCCTTTCGTTTCCGAAATACGCGACTCTTCTCCCGGTCGTCGTTCCCGACCGATTTTTGTCGAGAGTAAATTCTCCGGAGGAGCTAACAAACTGGAAAGAAACGCGTTGGTTTGGCGTGTTTTACGGACGAGTGTCCTCACGAACGGACGTGGCTGGCAAATTACCTTCCGGAACTTTTCGGACTGTTGGCAATCCTCCTCCGAAGCTATTTTGTGGGAGATGCCCATCGAAACCTTTGAAAACTTATCGATTTACTACGGACGAATAATAATTACTTTAAAAGAATCTTGTCGACTTAAAGTTAGCTTTTAAAAAAGTTCTTTAGAATTTTTCAAATTTAATTATAGGAAAAACTATTCGAGTAAGTTTGAACTCTATTGTTATTTTATTTACTCTCATTTAGGATTTTCTTTTCTCTTTCTGACCTTCTCGGAACTTGGCTAAAATCGTTCACGCTGTTTTAAGATTAGATTTTGGAATTTATTCCAAGTCGAAAGTATGATATAAGTAGATAAAAAAACTTTTTTTTTCTCTGCCAGTTCCCGATTTTCCGAGAATCGTAAACAAAAAACTTAACCCCTATTCGTATAGACTGCAGTTGTATATAAGAGAAATACGGCAGGTCGGCATTTTAAATAAACAGTTTTCGTCATTGGTGGCTTGGTAAAAACAATTTTTTTCTTCCCCTCCGCTTTGTAATGCTCCGACGCTTAATCGACCAATGTTTCCAACTTTAATATAATTTAACAATTTTCGGAAGTCAATAAGAGATCCGTGGACTTTTAATTATCTTAGTAGTTTGAAATCCGCACGGATAAATAAGTTGCGAAATAAATACGTAAGTTTAAATCCTGGAACAGATGCCAAACAGAAATTGGTAGTTTAAATTTATATTATTTTTCCGTTCATCTCTTTAACTTTTAAAATCGGAATTGGGAAAGGATACCATTAGATTTCTGCCCGAATCGAGAACTCTGAAATTAGTTACTTCGTGCGCGGAGAATCTGCTTCTTTGGGAGCAAATAAATTAGATACTTTTTGAATCTATTGGAGAAAAAACGAATTAGATTTAAACCTTTGTTAATAAAAAATTGTCCTCCCTCTCTTAGGACCTGACGGCCATTGGAATAACGAAACCTAACCATCGCCGAAAATTGAAAGCCGAAATCGCTAAGTTAAATATATCCGATGGTATTCCGGATTACAAACCGGTAACATTAACTTCTTTTTAATTATTATTATTATTATTTTTGATATAAAAAGACAATTACAACGGTGTAAATTTCGTTTAGGACTGTCTTCTGGAATGGTTGCAGTTACTTCAGTTGGAAGAATATTACGAAACTCTGTGTCGCCAAGGTTACGACACGGTAGACCGAGTTAACGAATTGACGTGGGAAGACCTGGAAGAAATTGGAATTCAGAAATTAGGTAAGTCGAAGACTTTTCCTAATCCATAATGGATAGACGTTCCCGGTAATTGTCGTCTTCTGTAGGTCACCAAAAGAAAATGGTGCTGGCCATTAAGCGCATCAGAGACATGGACAAGGATACCAGAAGACGTAATTTGGATCTGCCAGTTAAGAGTGTGGCCACTCTGCCCCGTCCCACCCTGGGTAAGGGAATTTCTAATCATAACGCGTATTTAGAGTTTACGAGGTCGAAGAGCCTCTTCCGTGTTGTACTCGAGTGTACCACTTGTTCGACAATCTCGTCTTTCTTAATTTTATAAAACTGTTTGATAATTATGAACCAGAAGAGTTTTTCTTTACTTTCTTATGTTATTCCCAAAGTAATATTTGTTTCGTTGTTAATTCTTCGAGGCGATGTTTAAATGCTCATTTGCATAAGAAGGCAGGAGATACGATTATCGAATTCTTTTTTGCCAACTCAAAAAACGTCCGATATACAAAATTATAAGTAATTTCTTCTCGGGGATGCTCAAATTTCATTATATAAACAAGTCGTAAATTGTGTCAACGTTTATTTCCTCGATTTTCGAAGGGGAAAAAAAAGAAGAAAACATATGTAAACTAGGACACATTTTACAAGGCAATCTGCTTTGTATGCCACATTTAAATAAATTGGCGAATAAACTTTTAATTAATAGAAATAAACATATCGTCCCTAGACAATTTAGTAACGCCAACGATGGTCGTTGAACCAATGCAAAAATTGCACAGATGGTCAGCATCAAATTGAAAAGTCGAACCACAATAATTACCATCTCGGTTAATGACGTGATAGAAGTCGCGTTATAACGTTCTTTAGCGGTGAATGTAGATTATTATAGGTGCACTCGTCCGGTCGTATCGGGAATAAAGGTTTCCGAAAATTAATTAATACTTTATTTGTTCCATTTACGGAATCATTTGTAACTTAATACGCAGAGTTTATAATTCGTAATTGAAGGTCACACGCTTTTTCCCTCCCCTCTCCTACAATAAGAGTTGTAATTAGTGAGAATTATAACTTTATAAGAAAGATTAGTCCGGCAAAATCAAAGAAAATCCGTTGATGGAATTTTCTTTCCATTTAAGGAACTTTCTGGATATAATAACCTTGAAGATAACCTTAGTCATCTCTTGGGTGTAATTCAAGAGTTGCACTTAATGTGTAGCATCTTTATGAATTGTTTATCCTGTGTATTGTAAATATACAGTTCTGCCTACAAATAATCTTTCATTAAAAATATTACCAGTACCTAAAGAAGCCAAATTGGATTTTGGTTGCTACGCCGGATCAGAAGATGCGATATTACATTATTAAAAGTAATAAAAATAAGTCTTTTTGTACAGAATTGTAGTAGAACGAAGGAGGAGAATCGATAGATTAAAGATCCTTGTGCGATCTATAACGATAAATATCAAATTATTTCACGTATTTGATTTATTTTTGAGCAATTATTCCGATTTAATTTACATTCGTTACTTAAACGAAATTAAAAAAAGTATTATTATTTCCGTTTTAATGAATAATTATCGTGGGAAATGGCTACTTCGTAAGTCGATGACGTCCCAATTAAACGAAACGTGCAAATTAACATTCTTTTGTATTACTAAAACGGGGAAAACAAAATAATAAATTTGGCCTCGTTTCTGGAGACTGCATTTTATCTTTTTAATCTTTCAACATAAGCTGAAGTGCGTGCGTGAATCGTGCCGACTTTCGTGTTTACCTTCCTAAATGGAATCTTCCCTTATCTCTATTTTAAGGCCCCCTTTTTTTTTCGTGAAATATTCAGTTATTGTTTTCACTTTGTACCCCTCTTGCTCTTTCTGTATGCAGTTTATCTTCAAATCTATTCTGTGGGGTTACAAACTTCAAATTTTCAAAATACATAATAATTGTCAAAGGTGTCAAATTTGAAGTTTGTAGCCCCCGCAGAATAGATTTGGAGATAAACTGCATATATAATACATACAGAATTTCAAACGCGATGACCCTTTAATACTTTATGTTGTGATAATCAGGAATTTCGAACTGAACTAAATTACTTATGGATTTGCATGTATGGTACTGTACAGTACATGCTTTGAATTATTCCACCATAATTAAACAAAGTAGTATTTGCTGTATTTATTTTGCTGTTCATTTATCTTATGTCATAAGTAATTATAAGGCTTTGAATAAAAGTTGCAATAATTTATATTCCTGTTTTATATAATAAACATATAATAATTTAAGTTGTAACTTTCTACAGTATTAAGTTGGATTTAATAAAAGTCTGTTACTGTTTTAAAGTTGTTTACGACAGATATTGTATATTGTGTACAATCCAAAAAAAATCGCTAATTAAAAGTAATTATAAATTATTTAACCAACAGAAACAAATTAGAAATCTTTTAGAAATGTAATGAATTAAAATATATGCGTAGTAAGCATTATTTATTATTAAATATGATAGTATTTCAGTTATCTGAAACTATATGTTCTTCAATCCAACGATCGCCTTAAACAATCGGGCTATAAATTCACTATTATGTTTAGTATATTTATAACTATATGTTCCATGAATTGCTCTCCAAATGTAATTGAAAATATATTGTTTTTTCAATGCAAAAGTCTAAAATAACATTCTTATTCTCACATATTTTTCTACAAATTAGCAATATGAGAAGTATAGAGTTATTAAATTATAGTACATTTATGAATACCTATAAGATTTTGTATTTATTATGAGGTGTACAATGATAGTTTTGACATTATATTCTCCATTCAAACATTAGTTTTAATCTCAATACTTTTTAAGTAATTCTAGCATTTATTATCATGTTCTTAATAATCAGAAAAATATATAAATTTATTATTATTAGATATAATAATAAATTTATATATTTTTATCTGATTGACTAATTTCATGAATCATTTAATAATGATAAAATTGATATCAATGTATGAAGTTATGGGCATTATATATTTTATTTAAGGAGAACTTGGGAATTTTTTGTAATTTATAAAATATTTATGGCATATAATTATATAATACTATAGGAAATATGAAAAGTAAATAAATATGAATTGCCATATTTTACAGCATATAAGATGTAACTTTTATCCAAAATAAAGACTAAAAAAAAACAATCACCCTGCATCTTATGTGTATAATTCTAATCTCTCATAGGCTAATGAATTTCCCAAATGGCTTTCAATAGGCTATGAGTAATCTCTGTCTTGTCTAACCCTTGAATAACAATGTTATTGCTTAATTAAACACATTATTATTTGCTATAGCTAAGCAGCTTTTGCATGTACTCATGTAGGCTATTTTAATTGTAAAAATTAATTTTCCCTGATATCTAAGAGTGTAAATTTTAATTTTACTTTTTTAACCAGAATACAATAAAACAAAAATTTGGGAGCAGAGTGTCAAAGGTGCAGATGGTTTTTAAATATACTAAATACTTTTTCCATTTAGGAATTCTGCACTGAAATGGAGTGCATCTTTTATTTCATAAAATATGGCGCTTTAAATTTTTCATCTTATTTATTTTTGTTTTAGATAAAAAGTAACATTTAAGTTAATTACAGTAATACTGTTTATTCATTTTATATTAAATGATTTTTTCTATTATTTTATTAAGTTTTATTAGAAATAGCTGAATGAAAGTTTTTAGGTTTGAAGCTATTATTACAATGAGGTTCCACTGTAGAATGGTTTCCATTTTATATCATGCTTCTTTTACTTTGAGTAAAGTCATCACCCTCTTATAAATTCATTCATTAAAATTTTCACATTTTAATGAATGAATTTATAAGTGGACCACTGTTTAGTGCTAAAAGTATTCTTCGAATCTCATCATTTATCCTTCTGGTAAGAGAAGACTCATGTTTATTTCAACCATACATCTTTCTAACAGGTGCTGATCTTAAAATATGTCTGTTTGTTTTTAATAGAATGCAGTATCACTGTTATCATTAATCATTTTTTGTATTATTTTTCTTAAAAATATGATATCATTTTAAGTATCATATTTTTTTAAAGAAAAATATATACAGTGATATCCAATATTCAGATATTTGTTAGCGGATTTGAATAACAGTATAACGTGTTTTTCTTTAGGATGCAATAAAATTTTTCTTATCAGACCCATTTATTATTTTCAAAAGAATCATTTTAAGTGTAAAATATGTAAAAGAAATGTGTGTGTAAATTAATATAATGTATGTATGAAGTATTTTACATATCAAATGTAGAAGTTATGTAGCTACATCAGATGTTATGAGTAAGATGATAATTAATTCATATCTTAAAACAATATTGAATAATCATATTTCAATGTTTTCACTTTGTATTAAAAATATAAGGAATATAAAGTATTGTAAAAATAGTTAGGAAATTGAAAAACTGAATCTACTTCAATTGATTTACAATTTGTATTTAAGTACTAATATATAAATTTAAATACTAGTATCATTATTATGTATTTTTTAAAATGCATAATCATGATAATTCATTTTATAGAAATGCATTCAACAGTTTAATTAATGTGTATGTATATTAGAATATGTAATTCACTGGCATGTATTTTTATCTTAAAGATAGTTGGAATAAAATACACGGAAACATTAATATACAGTAATACCTCAACTTACGCGAACCTGGAGTTACGCGATTTTCAAATCTCGTCAATTTGTCTTTTGTTTGAGCGTCACGCAACTCTTAATTACTCACTCCCCCCACACTATTGTTCAGCTTACATGTTCGGACATGTCGCGCGGAATCGACACATAGCTACAATTTATTTTGTGTTATTTATTTCTACAGAGACTCAAGAGACTCTATGTGGTGATTTCTTGTAACTGTAAACGAATCAAAAGATGAGATAAGATTAATGAGAACATCTATTAGCTTACATACATCCGACTTGGATTTTACACAAATTGCGAAATTATACCCCAACTTACGTGAATTCGACTTATGCGGTTATCACTCGGTCCCACCTATTGCGTAAATTCGGGGTATTACTGTATTACATTTATTTAAAATAATGATTTTTATTTTTCTGAATGCTCATAGTGGATAAAGTGTTGTCCTGCTTTGTAATTTATTATTTTGCTTTAACTGTAAGTTTTAAATTTTTATTTTATTTTTATGTTTATTATTATATTCTTG